GTATAAGTTCCCATGTGATTAAATAATACAAATCGTTCCTTTCATCAGTGGACAATGGTGTTTTTTTTTGTTGGATTTTAACTGTTATCTGCGTGCGACAACTTGACTGTTATATATTTTATTGAATATTTAAACAACATACAATCATGATGTGTGAGCATATCATTACACTTCTTAGCAGTTCTGCTACACACCATCGTAATCGCTGAAATATTTTCACCGCAGTTCCGAAATAATTGTCAGCGCACTTTAGTATTTTAGTGCGCAGAATTGCTTTATACCTATCTACCTATACGGTTTCGAATGAGCGCAAAAATTAACTACATCGAGTGATATTATACGGCACGATGTGTTAATTAAATTTGCCGTTGGGTAGGATTATAAAAACGGTCACCGTGAATACATTTCCATATTAAAGCGTGGTGACAGATGAATGAGATGTGAGCGCGTGTGTTTGTTAAGTGTGTCTGCACACGCATACGTAAAATATTATAATTAATAATATTATATTATTAATATATATATTATTAATATATATATATATATACAGTTCAAATTAATTGGAGTTATTCAAATCTCGTATAATATTCTATTTATTCGTATTTTTCTTCGCCTACTTTTCTGTCCAAAACTCGAACACTCCTATACCGTCGACTTATCAAATACCCGACGCATCTGAATATTGTGAATTTTTACCGTTAATTGAAATCACTTCATTTTTATTTTTTATTTTTTTACGTTTCAACACTCTAGCGAGGTGAATACTAAATTGTACGTATTATATGATACAAGTTTAAAATTATTATATAAATTGTTGCACCTACATCCGTTTAAAAAGTATCAATTACACSTAACGTTAGATAGTGCAGGTACCTTAGTCTTAAGTTAATGGCATCTAAGCCCTAGGGTATCTATTTTATGAAAAAATAATCCCTTTTTAAGATTACTTTATCGATTTTCCGTCCAAATTTTCAACTTCAATGAACTGCTCTAGCGATAGAAAATTTAATTTGAATACTGTAAAATTGCTAACTCATCGAATATTCGAAAATGTAAACACAATATACGATTAATCTTATTCAACTACTAGACTACTATAAAAACGCAAATATAGAAAATTCTCTGCTTAAAGTACTTCCGTGAGTTCATTAATATTCATATGGTATTCGCTACTACTCCTGTGTATAGAACTTTCAAAAAGTTAACTTGAAAATATTATACTCCGAGGCATTGGTACGATTCCTTAAGTATTTAAGTAATAAATAATAATCGGCGTGTTCCTTGATCAAAATATAATTGATAAAAAAAAAATCTAACGCTTAATTAAAAATAAACTTTTACCATACGATGAAATGTAAAATTTAAAAATCTACATAAATTAATAAAGTTGAGTTTAACATTGGAGTTAGTTCTTTATAAATTAGTAGCTTTGAAATGAAAAATTATTTTCTATACAATTAGGTACATTTATATTTTATATTATATAATTATAAATGTACATATTTTTAAATATGAAGCCATGAAGGTATAATCTAATAAAACTACAACATTTCTTTAGATTTTTCGTGTGATTTTAAAATTCTCGTTAAAAATTTAATTTTATCATATTAACATTTAAAGTATAAACTTAAGTAATTAAATTTTCAAAAATAAATTACTTGATACTATGCTTGTACAATATACACGCATTACCTCATTGGACATTGATTCTGACAGCTAGTATTTGTGATAAACTTTAAAAAATATACAAAAAACATTCAATTAGTCAGTATACAAAATAAATTGGAATTCAAAATTATGTTTTTGTTCCAAAGTCCAATAACAAAAAATGTTCATATAATCTCAAATTATATTTTTTATCTTAAAATACTAATTCTTTATTTTGTATAATTTCTCGTAAACTTCGGGGTTTTTGAAACATTAATAAAGTTAAGCATAGCAGTGTACTATAAAAATTAAATTAATTTGGATTAGACTAATGAGAAATGTTCTGAAAAATATCTAATAAAGATTAGCACAGGACAGCATCAAAATGAACTAAACGGGCACAAATGCGTGATAATATTATACTGAATTCCATCAATTTCCAATTTTTTGAACGTGATTTATTGCAAACAGTACGAGAGGAGAAAAGAAATAATTATTGTTGAACAGAATCACTGTGACATATCTAAAACAATCCTCTTAAGCACGCGATTGAAATGTACATCTGTACAATATTTATGTATATGTATAAACAAATATAAAGGAAAAACTAAAAAATTACGTTTTCCTGTCTGAACTGATCACGGGATGGAGGGAGTAAGTCAGAAAAATAATGAAATTGAAATAAAATATACACCAGCATAATACAGTAGTCATTCTATTTACATCATATAGGAGTCATGAAATCAGCTGATTATTTTTTTGCTGTTTTTTTTCTCGTCCATATTTTACCACCCACTGTTGTCGCTAGCTTGAAACATTTTCTGTTTTCGTGTATCGGTCATTGGCTCGTTTACAAGTTGTACGACACCGAAATTCGATCCGCTGTTGTAATGTTCTACAGTAATAACAACATAGGCCTTTTTCGCTCGACACGTCCCTTGAGTGATCACACTACCATATATATGGTTGATCTGAAAAGTAGAACTACTGACGAAAAATGAATAGTCCTCTAAAACATTTCAAAATAGTCCTTTGAACTACTTGTACGCACATAATATTAATCTACATGCTGTTTAAAATTGTATCCAATTCATTATTTTTAAATTTGAAAATTTTAATGATTAAGACTTCTGTGCTTTAAATCTCCATTATATTTTATAACTTTTTAATATAAATTGCGGTGGAAAAATTTAAAGAAAAAAACAGTGAACCGGAATGATTTTTTTCATGCAGTTTAAATTATTATGGAATAATAAAATTTATACAATATAAGTAAATAGTATGTATAAAATTAAACAATACCATAGAATCTATGGTCTTCAACCGGTGGGTCACGACCCATTTTTGGGTCACGTAAGCTTTAAAATTGGGTCGCGATAAGTCTTCTTTTTAAAATAAAAATAAAATTTTTTAAATTATAAAAGATAAAAAAATAATTTTTTAAAAATTTAATTTAGAAATTTAATAAATGAAAATACAGTTTAAAAATAGTAGTATATGTTGTGTATTATGTATCAACAATATTTTATAATTTATTGTTATTCTATATTCTATAATATTWTAATGAATATTAAATCACGGTATAATGTTTAATACTACACTGGTATGATTGTACGTAGTAAGATATTGAGATAAGAATTAACGAATAAACTGTGTTATTAATAGAATTAATATACATTGTTATCGTTAGATTCCCATAATCTACGAATATTATCGATGTTGTTGCTGTGTTTAAAGACGAAGTATAATAAATGTTAATAAATTGTTTGTATCATATTTTCATTTTATTTTATATTTTCATATGAATTCTATACATTTTCAATTAATAATAATATTCTACCTATTAAAATGTAATTTTTATTTATTCAGTTTTAATAGTACTATTGCAAAGCATTAAGCAATTTTCGATTTTTTATAAAGCTTACGTGGGTCGCGAAAAATGTAGGCCTAAAAATGTGGGTCGTGAGTCCAAAAAGGTTGAAGGCCGCTGGGGATAGATTGCCAGGCATCTATGGCATAGATTGTATAATCTTATCCGAAAAAAACATTTAAGTCTTTGAAACTCGTATTTACTGCAGCAGTGGAAACCTTACACAATGTATATAGTATAAAGTATACCTAAATCTGTTGATTGTCGTGAAATGGACGACATGCACTTTTAAAACGGCTCATGTGTGGATTGAGGGTGAGATAAAATTAAAAACCAACCCGAAGCTGGTTTCGTTCTCTGTCAGCCCACGAGTATCTCCCACTCATCTGGCCTAAAATAATATAAAACATAAACATAATATAAATATAAAATATAATATTGTCATGTACGCGTTAATCGAATTTTTATTAAATAATGGTTTTTTTGTTTTTTTTTCTAATCGTCCTCGCAGGCGAACATCCGGCCGCCATACAGCGGGGACACAGTTCCGGCACACAGATACCCATCCGCCTCTTGGGACCCCTCTCGGCCGTGTTGGGACTCAGCTCCAGCCATTCGACGAGAGCAGCCCTGCTGACGACCGCGTTCGCCGTCGACCTGGCCATCCGGACAGTGTACTCGATGATCGTCTAAACGGATGATATCGCGCGGGACCCGATCGTGAGATGCCTGTGGTACAGCAACCACCACCTCCGAACCGACCGAACACGACTTACATACCAAATAATATTATTTAATAATAAAAAAATACAAATACCACCCCTGCGAAAAATAATATACACCGTCGCCGACGGAAAAACCACGTTCGAGGACATACAGATAAGTGCATTGACGTGCGCATAATTATAATATGTTACCGAAATACATTCTTCGCCATACCATCGATATAGCGTAAAGTCTAATAATATAATTGTTTTCACTACTACATATATTTATTAAAATTATTAATATTAATATCGTGTTAATACCATGAGATAGTGACGAGTCGGTGTACATATTACAATTCGAACCACGAGTGTCCGTCAGCGACGCGTTCTTTTCCGAACGTGTACAGTTTTTTACGTGTGTTTACTATATATATTATAACTATCATTATTATTATTATTATTATTATTATTATTACTATCATTATCATTATTACTGAAGGTTAAAATGTATGAAAAAAAGATTGAAAAAGTTACTGATTAGCTTAAAAATAATGGTAAAAAATGTTTACTTTTTTAAATTAATATACCTACTAACTACACCACCATATATTATATATATAATAAATAATATTATATCTAATATATACATATTGAGTTTACAACCAATCGACCAATGATGATATTATATTATATTATGTTGTTGTGTAAACTTATTATATAATATTATTATTGTCATATTGTACATAATTGTCGATAATCCGACAAACAAATAACGATCACGTACAGTGATGCACTATATTGCTCACTTGTAAAAGTTTGACATTTGCTTATTGTTTTCGGTATACATTTTTTCAGACATTCAAAATGTCCACGAAAGTTAAATGTATACATATTATTCAAGAACGTAACTTATAATATATAAACCATAGATTATAATTATAATAATTATTATTATTATTACTATTACTAAACTATTTTGCTCTAAATGTTGTTATTGTTTTGTTTTTTTCTTAAGATGTATTGTATAAAACTAAGCTATAAAAATAATATTACTAACAGTTGAAATTTATGTACAGCACGTGTATACTAATTTTTAAAACATTCTTTTACCTACTCTAGTCCATGACGATTACATATTGATATATAAATATAACTACTAATGGTGCGCTGTTTATGTAAATTATAACGCTATAAATCAAATATGAACGAAACTAGTTTGTATTTTGAGTTTGGTACAGTAACATTACCTTACATTATATTAATATATATATAATACTATTAAAATATTAATATAATTTATTATCCTCATAAATTAATATTGTTCTAGCCTTTTTTGATTGTTGTAATTTAAACCTTTAATTTAAGCTATATAATGAGTCATATATAGATACTTTATAATGTATGTTTTGGGTTTTGTTTATGTTTTGCAATACTATTTTCCATATTTTGTACAGTAATTGACGTGTTATGTTTTATATAATATTATTTAATCAAAAACTTTAAATATTATTATTTTTATTCAAATTGTTAATATTTCTGATATAACAAAACAACCAAAAGAAGTAATAAAAATAGTTATATATATATATGAATGTATATTAATATATTATACTACTTATTTACCTACTAAAAATGTATAAAAAAATATACTATACATTTTAGATAAGGAAAACAATGTGTACCGTTAAACTAACCTTTAATTTATTGTAATAAATGTTATATGAAATTATGCAAACTCTGTCTCTGACAATTTAGTTAACTATATACCTATACGTTTGTGTGTGTGTGTGTCTCCAAAAATAATTCTCACTATACATTTGTATTCATTATTCGTGCGTTGCAGCAGTATGCAATTTAGCAAATATTCCTTGGGATTTAGATTAGGTAATGATTATTTCACACACGAGCTTGTCGTCTCAATTTAATCTCATGGGTATAATTAAGTTAACTACTACCATTTCTTCAAACGATAAATATGGTAATTATTGTAGCTTAAAGTGCTAATGTTTCTATGGAATAGCTTGATTTTAATTTTAAATTGAGTAAAAATATTCTAACTATTCGAGATAAACGAATAATGTCGCAGGAAAGCTTTCGATCAAATACTTAGGTTAAATTCAAAATATTGTAAATGACATAGAAAATAGGTAACTGTTGGATACATTCGTACACACTGAATCGATTTATTGTTTATGCAAAAAAAATGTTAAATGGGATCGCTTAAAAAAATCGCAAAAACTAATTTTTTTAAATCGATATTTATGTAACTACGAAATTATAGAAAGTTCGCGGAGTTAGATGACAACACTAATTGGTACAGTTTAATTTCTTGTGGCATATCATCTTTAATATTATACTTATCAGTGTGTATAAATGTATATGAAAGTAGTGAAAACTAACTTTAGCAACAAATATCTACAGAAGATCGTCAATCGCAGTTTTCACTTTTCCCGTCTAAACACTATGGTTAGAATTTAAAAGTGATATCTTTGGTTTAAAATACAAACATATAGACAAGCTTAAAGAATAACGGTTGCTAGTTTATATGTTTTTTTATACAGACGGAAACCAGTAGCTGGTTTTGGTACACCTTGACGATGACCTCGTACTATAATATATGGAAAGCCCGGGTTGAGTATGGAAAAGTTCGACTACGACGTTCGACGTCCGTAAAAAAGCAGCGATGGTGGCGGTGCGTATCCGGTTCAGTTGGTACAACTTTTAACGTACCAAAAAACATTTACGGTTTCGATTCTTGGGCATTGAAAAATAAGTGTCCCGACCCATAATATATGACAGCGTGGCGGTGTGGCAGAGTTTCGATATTGTTCCACTTGTCATGTTTATTGGAAAAGTTCGTTGATGTCCTTGGCAGTCTTATTTTTAACTTCTTTTTATAAGAGACGCGACGGCTACAGTTGAGTGGAGTGTGTCTGTATGTTCATGTGTGAGAAATTTGGTTTTTAAAAAACAAACATTTTCAGTCACATATGCAGTCAGTGTATGATAAAATTTGTAATTAACATTTAAGTGATAGTTTCTATGACACCAATACCTAAAGTTATTACTTATTGATGTACGGGCTCGTCGATCTGAATTTGCTGGCAAGTATATCTGCCTCAAACAAAACTTTAACTCAATTTGTCACAAAAATGACTTCTTTCGATGAACCAAAAGGTGAGTGTGAGCATTTCAATTAGTTTATTTAAAATAATATATTATTATTAGTTCACAGAGTTTTAAACTTAAAAATTTCAACATAAAATAATAAAATGTATATATTTGTTCATCATATAATAACGATATAGCAATATAATATGTATACTGTAAAATCATGCTGAGTGAAATAATTAAAGCAGTCAATAAAAAACAATAGTAAACATCAAAAAACTTTGTTGTTGTTTTTTTGTTCATTGCTCATTTGAAAAATTAAAACGTTTTTATGGTACTTTATTAACATTAAAAATGAAAAAATGGTAAATTCTCTGAGGAAATGATTTTAATAAACATCTTATTATTTTATTATTTATTTGACTTCATCTGAAAATTGTAAAAATACGCCAAAATATATTAGTTCTTTAGACATTAGAGCACTAAATTGCACTCACTCAATTTTTATACTAAAGCACACGTTCAATTAAAGTTCATCACAAATGGTCTTTGCATTATATTAAAGTACTTCCGTGACTGTTATTTAAGACATGCTATTTTATATGTTTGAAATAAATTCTAAAATTCAATTATACAATAAAGCCTTGTGTTTTAATTTTTAACACGCGTTATTAAAGTTTTAACTGAAATAAGTAAAGTTTGTTAGAATAATAAAAACAGCCTTATAAAATATCGGAATATACAAGAGTTATTATTAACGAGACTAAATAAGTTATGGTGAATTTACTATAAAATAGTATTTTTACATTTAGATAAAGAAAATTACTTACCAATAATAATTATTATATTAGATAAAATGTACTTTAATATTAAACACGAAATGCTATTATTTTATTATTTTTATTTAAGTTCAAAAGTAAAATATCTCCGAAGTGATATAAAAATTGATAAAATAAAATAAATTTCAAGAAAAAAAATATAATAATAATAACACTAAAACACTTAAGTATATAAATTTATATATTATACTATAATAACTATAAGTTTTCCTAAAATTGGTTAGATTTTTAACATATAAGGTACCATAAAAACTACTCCGGGTAGAAAGGTATCTATTATTGTAATAACACAAGTCGTTTCTTGATAATCATTATTGAAAATTCTGGGAATTTCTATAAAGAGATAACTTTTGGAATTTTCTATAAATTATTAAAGTTACAACTATAATACATTTATCACATTACGGTTATCCGTGAGTAATCGGAAAAAAATGTTGAATAAATCAGAAATTTCCTTTAAATTTGTTGTTAAAATATGTATTTAAATACAATATTATCAATGATGGTTGTTTTTTATAGACACAATATAATTAGCATAAAATGTTGACCATACAAAGTTTCCTGTTTTCATATTCACAACTATATTATATATATATTTAATATATTTTTAAAATCTTAACTCGTAAATTATTTTTATGTGCACTTAAAATACCGAGCTCTGACGAGTACCCCAACATCCATCGGGGTACAATATTCTGTGCGTTCCTTTTTTTTATATAAAAATATAAATCATTCCTATTTAAATAAATACTCAAATCTAAGTCACAAAATAGTAAAACTAAAATATAGAAGAGGATACCTATACTCGACATAAAAGCAATCTAAAATATTATTGTTAGTTATATTTTTCCCTTACACGACGTATAAAGTATCGGAACCGTATAAGATAATAATATAATACATTGGGCTTTTGATCAAATTAAATTTCACTGCCATTCTTGAGTGTAAGCAATTGTGTTAAGTGCACTAGTAAACGTCAATGCGGACCGTTTAAAATAAATATTAAAAAAATCATTAATATTTTATACTAAAATATTAAACCGATATTACAGAAAAAATTTATTAAATTCGCAATATTTAGGTAACTATAGACAATATAATATACATATCATTAGGTACCAAGTTACCACGGAGAGACATCGGGAATTGTTGGATGAATATAATATGTATAATCTATATATACACCAAACTGGCATGGGTCCAACTCATAATTCCTGAAACGCCCAATGAGATACTCGTAAAATCCGAGTGTACCGAGCTTAATAACCAATTAATTACAGTCGCTATTATATTCACTGCCAATGCGTCTTGTATAAATTATATGAAAACGTAATCTGTTGGATACCTAACTGAACAGAATTATCGGCGAAGACTATACGTTTAATACGCTCATATAAACGCGTATAGAGAAAGAAGTACGGTCGATTATAGACTTTCCGAAAACATTTACATACTACGAAATGTTGAGTTTATACTCACATTAATAATTTCAAAGCTATCGGTTAACTTTCGAACACCTCGTGTATCT